CCCCTGCCCGAGGAGTTGATGAGGTGATGCAGCAGGGTGGGAGGGCTGAGGGTCTGGGACACTCACTTGGTAGCCAGCAGCATATTCTTTCGGGAATGCAGGTCACTGGGGTCGGTGTGCTGCCGGTTCAAATACTCCGAAACAGCTTTAGCAGGAAACTCTGTTTCACAAATATACCCAAAATCCCGAGCTAAGTGAACAGCTTCTCCTGAAAAGACAGCAGCAGAGGTAATAATCAGTCCCCATTTCCTAATCATCCCAGGCTAAGAGATCCTTCCTAGTCAACTGTTGGTATTTACAGAAGAGACCAGCTGTTGGGGGCAAAAGCAAAGGTGAGACTGAAGCCCAAATAAAAATGACTCTCAGGCCATAAAGTTGATGGAAGAAACTTTGCTCCTGCTGCTCTTTCCAGCCTCTCCTTGATGATCCTTTTAGCGAAGTCCTAGGACATCTACGGGATAGCTTCGGGCTTCCTACATCCCATGCTTTCTCTTAAGAGAAAGATGGGCAGATGTGTTCAGGAGTCACCTTACAATTGCACCTAGACAGTTGGCTGGATATTGGAGCCAGATTTCCCTCCTCCTTTTAAAAGCACCTGTTGCACCTGCTTTAAATAAAATTTAAAAGTATTCCTATCTTTTGTATTATCTTTTGTATCTTCCTATAACTGCACTAGGAAAAAAAACCCCTCTTATTAATAACTAATATACATATAACCATAATTCCATGTGTGTACATGCCCACATATATTAAAGAACATATGTAAAACATATATGGAATAAGTGTTTCTGTCCAGCAATGAAGTATTCATTCTTTGTCAGTTCCCTGATAGGTTTCAGGTTTCTCCTTAGAGGGTCCTGTCATCATCTTCCTACTTAAGGACTTTCCACTGAACAAGATGACACAGCAACTACAGAAAACCCGGACACCTGAGAGATTCCTCGGCTAATGTGGAAGTCCATTTCAAATAAAGCATTATTACCCTTTAATGCACAGCCTTAGGTGTTCAAGGGATGATACCAAACATGAAAAAGAGATATGTTGAATTATCCCATAGTTACCATATTTTTAAGGGGCATGGCTTACTTTTAATCATCATCATTACAGTAACAAAAAAAAAAGACTTCAGGCATGATGCTTACAATGATCTAGATCCATAAAACTGAAAACTGCCAAATGAATATTGGAATTTCAGTAGTTTTCCTGTTTCGTCCCTTCTCCACCCAAATTCACATCTTGGACAGAGATTAACTTGACTGCTTTTACAAAATAAGGACAGTGATATTAGTAATTCCCTGAAGGGCAAAAAACAACCTCCCACCCCACCCCACCCCACTCCCAGGGGCTGAGTCAACTGCTAATAAGTGTGATAAGGAAATTTGGTGACTGCTGCCCCTGGAGGGTAAGTTTGGGCCAGACAATTTTGCCTTAAAGATGGCAAAGTGCAAAGCCTATGAATGTGATGACTTTATGGTTGTTAATTGCATGTTCTAAGATCTCCAAAAATCAGTTCACCATAGGAGTGTCATAATATCACATCCATAAAATAGAAAAAAAAAAGACTAACATGTTAGACTCTAGAGAAAATTCTACTTCCTTCATTAGGACCATCTGGCTGTATTTCCTATCCCTTCCCCATCCTGCAAATTAACTGCAGATCCTCTTGTTCTCAACTGTGTAGAAGATCCTGTTTATTATATACCATAAATATCATTCCCAGCCCCAAAATGATGAGCAAATTAGAATGTGCTTGTTTTAATTATGGGCCTTTAATTCACAATCAATGAATCTTCACAGAAGGTCCTATGTGACTCCCCTCCTTGTTTCCTCACCACCACCCTCGATCCCATTTTTTCCTAGGCCTCATTGGCTTCACTAAGCCAATTTCATCAATAATAAGTCCCAGGTAATCAGTAGGAGATAGGACCCTGGGAGTGGCATGAGATTTAAAATAACCATAGGGGTCACGAATGCAATAATAGTTTGATAAACTGACAATGTGTTTTCTACTACTGACGATTCAGAGGTAGAACCTGGGAAGGAGAGAGGTCTAGAATGCATTGCTGCTTCCGGAGTTACCTTGCAAGAGTTCATGCAGAGGGGTTTCACACACTGCATCCTGCACCTGATGGCAGAGGTGACCCCTGCACTGCTTTAACGCCTGGACCTGAGCACTCTTCAGAGCTTAGGGACCCTCACACATGTCCCTTTGCCTCTCTGCAATTGCCAGCTCCCTCTAAGTAAAAGGACCTTTGAACTTCTCTCAGGCAGCCGCTTGACATCAAACTCATAAGGGCACAACAATCGCAATGATTTCCAGTTAATCATGAAATGTGTAAAATGTCAGCCTTCAGCCAACAGTTAAACTCAGCCACTTCGTGAAGTGGCCACACGTCTTGCTTACCTTCCACCAGGGAGGTGAGTAACGTGACATTTGCTGCTTTGCGCCTGCCCGCGGGTAAATTCAAACCGATTTTTTCTAGCCTTTCTCGCAAAGATCTCCCCCCATTTTTCGATTTGGCTCTGAAATTGCAAGAATTAACATTCTGATTAACCTCAGAGTGTTCCCGAAACAAAGTTTAGACTTAGCAATCTAAAGCCCAGTGGAGCTTGAAGAGGTTTTAACTCGAGGTTAGCACATTTTCCCCCTTTCCTTTTGGTTATTTGCTGATAGTATGCTGAGGTTTGCTTAATTTCTGCAATACAGAGCATAAAAAAAAAAAAAGTTGAGTCTTTTTTTTTTATCTCGTGAGGAAAAAAAAATGATACCAGATGGGAATAATTAGGGTTTAGGTTGTGGGTCCAGAAAAGGTAGAAGTTGCATAGGCAACACACAAGCTCTTTCCTTGTAATGGAGCCAGTTAGGTGAACATAAACTGGGCAAGCACAACCTTTCTGAAAAGAGGGAAAGAACTGGGTGGTTCAGAGAGAAGGCACTAACTAGCTGAAACAGGTGGGGTTTTCCAGGAAGGAAGGGGTCAAGAGTCGATATAAAATGGGAGTTGGGTTAAAAGGGGAAGGAAGACTGAAACATGAAACCAACATGATGATGGTAATCGCAGTAACTGTTAAACTAACACTTTAGGGAATTTAGTTATGCGATAAGCACTGTATATTGATTATCTCACTTAATCTCATAGCAAGTTTTATACACACACGCTCAATGCCCAGGGGTGATTGAAAGAAACTTCCACACTCTGGGGCTCAAAGGGCTCACTCACTTCAGGAGAGCAGAGCAAGAGGATTCAAAGTGAGAAAAATCCATGAGTCACACATTTACTTCCTCCCCAAATTCTCCCTCTATGTGTTAAATTCTGGGCAAAAATACAAGAAAAAAAAGTTACTCTGACCTCTCTTGTGGTACTGTTCACACAGCCACTTTCAGGGAAGAAAGGGACTTTCAACTCCCCAAAGAGGCTAACTTGAAAAGTTCATCTCCTACAGTGTTACCTTCATATTAGAGACACTACCAAATTGCCCTCCCACCAGGCACAGGCAGAAATTCCGGGGGAAGGCTGTAAATCTGAAGATAAAAGCCATCTCTTCCCCCATTTTCCCAAAGGAGTCTATGGAGTGTCTTCTTCCCATATTAAGGAGCACTTGAATGCCCCCAAGAAATAACTATTCCTATTTCATTGTTATTATTGGTGGTGTTCTTACTGAAGACAGGAGGTCGCAAGTCTAGCATGGAATTTTTCAAACTGCAGGGAACAATGCCTTGGTGGGCAGTGAGTGACCAATTTAGTCGGCTGCCAACCATATTTTAAAACAAAACAGAGCAATATTACAGTACATTACTGGTACAAAGCAGGTTACTCCATGAAACGTCTGTTTTAGATAAGTGTGTGTAGGTTCTGAGTCTCACTCAGGCTACAGAATGCCCTCCAAGTGTCCCGGGGAGAAAAAGAGCCAGGCGCCAGGCACAGGGCAGGGAGAGAGGGAGGTTCCCAGCACTGACAACAGCGGGAGAGCGAGCGGCGCGTGCTTGCGGCGCGTGGGTCCCAGGGCGGCGGCGTCTGCGCGCGCGGCCCCCAGCACGTGGCGGCCGTGGCTCTCTGCACGCTCAGCGCCGGGGCCGCGCGCTGGACGCCCGGTTGCTAGGCAACTGCGTCCGGCTATCGGCTGGTTTCCGGGAGAGCCCTCTTCCTTCACCCCGTAATAACCGGTTTGGGGGTTTTACCTTCTGAGGACGCCGCCGAGGAGAGACGCGTTGAGGCATTCGGGGGGCGAAAGCCGTCTCTGAACTTCCCCCACAGTTACTTTGTACTTTGAAGTTGAACTGAGCAGAGACAGACGGCCGGGGACCGAGCAAAATACCTCGCCGGTGTTGACGGACATGCCTCCCAGGAAGCCATCTTTATTCATCATCAGAGAAGTCACAGATTTGGGAGGAACCGGAACTAGAGAGGAAAAAAAAAAAAATGCCATAAAGGTGACCGGGTTTCGATCCTGGTGACCGGCTGATAGAATGTGTCGGTGCGTGCGCAGGGGCGAGGCCACAGGACAGGCGCCAAGTGGAAAGCTGGAGGAGGAAGTGTTTGTTCCAGTAGGGCTGCCGTGCGTTCAGAGCACTGTGTACAAACAAATGGAAAAGCCATCACTCCTCTGGAAACTTACCCCATGTGTGTAGACCTATGCGTGTCGCTTGCCACAGTCCCGCTCACTATATAAATCAGGAAAACTCACGGCCTAGAGTTTGGATTGTGCTGCGAAACCCGGCGAATCCTATTTCATCATGTGCTAGCTTGTGACCTGAGACATCTCAGTGAACCTTTCTGAATCTCAGATTCCTCAACGGTCTCCTAAGGCTAATAACCACATTTGGTGCTGAAGTCTGAAAGTGATTATACTATAAATGATATAAAATGGTAATATCGGTGTTCTTTATGGGAACCCCTCCCTCCTTTCCTATTGGACCCATTTATGTGGTCATCACTGGAGAGCACAGGAGAGTGGGCCCTATCAGAGACACTGTGCTCAAGAACAGCCAAGTAATACCATTATGCTTGGGCTCAAAGGAGATGCTCATTGCTCCAGAGTGGATCTCATTCTTCTCTACATCATAACAATACATTCATTTAGAAGTGAACCCAAATGCTCCTCTCCAGTGAAAGCAATTCCACAGTGACATGAATTTTGTTTACAAATTAACTAAAGCGCAGGCTGGTGATTGGAGCAGTTATGATTTACAACAGGTGCCCTGATCAATCAACCAATCACTCTAATTCATGTGAGCGGAGGTCTTGCCTTGCCCCAGTTGTTTCATTTCGGCAAGTAATTGATAACAAACCGCACTCAAGGTATGTTTTATGCAGAAGTTAATAAGAGCTGACAGCTGGTTGCCACTGCTACTACCCAGGCTCATTCAGTCTCTCCAGCCTGTATGTCTGTTTAATTGTGTTTCAGTGTCATCTGTACCTCAGGAAGAGGCGGGGCTCAGTAGAACCAGAAGGCTGGGAATGAGGAATAATGAATGGTCAATGTCCCAGTTCTTGCTGGCCATCTTACTCCCTCGGAGTTCTACACAGCTGAAGCCCATTCTCTTTCTGCAGGTTCTAGAAGCCACAGGGCAGGTGACTTTTCCTGACTTGCCTCACACCTTAGCTACTTCCAGTGGGATATGAAGCTCCCAAATCTTCAAACAGTATTTGTTGAACATGCATCTGTCATGAAAAAGGTTTCCACTCCTTCTCTTTAATAAACACAATGTCTCATCCTATAATCCTGGTAGGGGAAAGATCAGCTCTTTCCACCATCTCGAGCCTAGAATACTATATATCAAACAAGGTGCACAACCTCCCTTGTATAGAACAGAATAACCAACACTGAGTATTTTTGTGACAGCTTATTCTCTCTACTACAGATTCTGCCATTCAGACCTCCATGATTGTCTAGAAACTGCTGAAAGCCAGGTAGGTCCCAAATTTCTTATTTATTAGGAATTGCATTTGGCCCTTTAGAAACTTCTTGTGGAAAAGGATTTTCCTAGGAGAATGGATGGGGGTTCTGGACCATTCCCTTTTGCTACTTCTTAGTACACATTTTGGTATATCTGGATCTGTCTACAGAGTCCAAAGCCTTGTCTCAGGGCAGGTGAATGATGTTAGGTAACAGATTGGATCTTCTGCACAGCTGTGATGGTGGTGGGGCACAACAGAGGGTGCTTTCTTCTTTCTGATTCCCCTCATGATATTCTTATCAGTGAAGCTGCTTCCCATTTGAGAGTGAGCCAAATTTAAAAAGTCCAAGTGCAAGTATTAATTAAATTTGAGTAAAATATGGAGTTAAAGTTATTTAAAAGTGAGTGATTTGGGTGGGAACACCCTGTTATTTAATTCTCTTATACAACATCTACATCTGTTTTGATCCGTCTTATTCTTTGCAATACTCTCAATTTTCATCTTTCAGATTCATATTCAAAAACTCTAAGCAAATAATTTATGATCATAGGAATTAACATCAGATAATCTTGGAGAAACTTTTCCCCAAAATACAGATGATGGCCTTTTGTAATTTTAACATGGTAAGAACTATAGAAATAAACTGCACAAAAATCTACCTTCGACACTCAGCAATGTTTTTATATTTAATATTTAATACTATTAAATATTTTTTAGAAAGAATATTTTAACAATAAAGAACCTCGCTAAGCTGAACATAGTAAGTTCAGTTCCAATTTCCCATATTGGACAACAAAATATCTCCTTAGGTGTGTAATTTATCTGCTTCTGAGAGTCCCAGTTGTCAAATCTCTTGAAGAGCCAGGCCTTTAGAGACACTTTATAACCTGCCCTCTAATTTCACTATTGTTAATTGCCTGATTTACCTGACAAGAGCCATTTCCTATGGGGAATGTATATTGTTCCCTCCTGTGGGCTGTACCTTTCACAAATGCATTATCACTTAAATATCACAAATCCAGTTAGGTTCTGTCAGCACACCACTGTTCTTCTTTTGTTGTTGTTGTTTTCCCCCCAAAGAGGCAAACTATTGGTGCAGACATGCTTCAGGTTATATTTCCATTTTCTTAATTTAAGTATAAATCATGTTCCTACCCTCTACCCTCTCATCTTTAGGTTCTAACCCTCTCCTACTCTGGCCTTAAACCTAGACCCTAGACTAGGTCTAGGTAGAATAGATCCTACCCATTTCTTGTCCTAACTTTCCTTAAAATCCCTAGCACTATTATCTACCTTCCCTTCCACTCTCACACCTGCTTAGCTCAGCTGATTAACCCCATATTTTATTCTCTTTGTCTTTTCCCTTCTGCTTTCCTCCAGCTTATCAATAAACCCAGAAAGCAACAGGGCCCGGTTGATTTGTTAGTAATTATGAGCACACTGTTCCTGCTCATGGAACCCAGAGATGACTAAGATAGGTTTAAAGCGACAGCAGGAAATAGTAAGGAAATGGAGCATAGCAAAACTCAGCGTGAAGCTTTCAGTTCTTTACATGTTTACAATTTTCTGTGCATATATTAAAACCGGTGGTTCCCCCCCCCCCGTTTGGTTCTCCATTGCATATTATGACCAACTCCTGGATGTCACATCCACAAAACTTGCTCCCCCCTTTTTTTTTTCTTGCATTATATTGGGGAGAAGAAGAAAGGTTTAAAACTGATCAATGTTTCATTACAGTGACTGGAATTTTATTTAAGAGAGAAGAAGAAAGACTGATTAGAGAAAGTATTATTCATTAGTGGACTACAGAGAGCCAAATGGTTAATAGACTAGCACTTAATCTGTATTCTTTAAACTTAAGTATGAAATTGGAGCCTTGATATCTTTGTATTTGATTGCAAACAGACCCTCTATGGCTCTGATTTGCTGGTGGCGAGGAAGGGAAGAAATGAACCCATTTAATAGATTCAAGGATAAGTCCCCCCTGAAAGATACTCAGACTTAAATATGTCTGCTACACCAAGAAGCTACCAAGAGTTTGAATATTGCTTGAAATAATTACTTCTCACTAGCAGAACATCCCCTTCCTTTATACTTGCATTGTTTCTAATCTACCTGAGGGCTAAATGTTATTTCACATGGATATATAGCACATCTATAAATGTGAGCACCAAATTCCTGGAAAGAAAAATAAAAGGATTCTTACAAAGAAAGCTGGAATATAAAGAACTACAAACATCCAGGGTTAACATCCCTCCAGGGACAAAGTCTAAGAGTCTAGAAACTGAATTGGGTCCCATCACTTACTCTGTGTGTGGGACCTTGAGAAAGTCATTTATCTTTTCTCTGTCTCAGTTTTTTCACTGGGAGTGGAGGGGGGTGGGACTTGGAGAAGAGTGACTCACCTTTCCAATTTTGAAATTCTGTGAACTCTGATTACTCCCTGGGTGGCTGGAATGTATCTTAGAATCTCCAGTTGAATAAATACCTGTTAGGATCCAAGTCAGCCCTGGAAATGCGAACTTCTTCCTTTGAGGGGAAACTCATACCTTTTCAGAGGCTCTGACACACTCTTGGTGCTTTTTACCTTCTAGGTCAGAAGGAAGAATCCTAACATTGTAATGAAATTGGCAATTTCTTCATAACCCCTCCCCCACCCCAAAGAAAATCCACACTAACCAAAGTGTTTATATGGGGAAGGGGCCAGAACTAACGGGAAAAAAGTGGGAGAGAACTGAGGTTGAACTGAAACTAACCAAACAGGATATCCCTAAGACCAATCAAAATGCCCCACAGTCACATTTGAACCTTGGATTCCAGCCATGCAAGCCTTTCCAAGAAATCCCAGCATATTTTCTGCTCTCTAAGGTGTCAAACCGATTGCATATTAGCCTCTGATTGCACCGAAAACTTTTTCTTAAAGCCTAGGTGAGCCTTTTTTTAATTTAAGCTATAGGATGGTGGCAGTGATCATTTGTATCAGTTGGGCACTAACCTGCCCCCTCCCCAGCCCAGATTCCTAATCTTAATGGAACTGAGAGTTAAGAATGATTTTTTAATGTCTCGTTGGATTTTTAGACTGTTAATGTACCGAATCCTTCTCATTATTACTTTATTGATTGCTCATTGACCAGCCCCCTTCAAATCGTATTAACCACCCTCTGCCGGTTTAGATTAGGAGAGTTTAAAAAGTACCTTTCATTACTCCCTCCACTCCTGCCTTGGAGTTGAGACTCGGCATCTTAATGGGAGCTCTAATGGGGCAGCTAAGAGGAGAGGGGCCACGGTCCCTGCCGATTGCATTAATAGCTCAAAGGGGGCCAATACAGAAAATTAGCCGTAAACGAGCTCTGGAGATCTTCAAATGAAAGAGCCATTTATCACGCTGGCTACCTTCACTCCACTCGTTTGCTCTCTCTACTGGGAACAACTCATTTCCTCTTAACTAAATTACTTCAGAAATGTCAGCTAAGCCCAGATAGCAAACATAACAAGAGAGCTAGCTTATAATCTATAGGGTGATATCAACACGGGTGAAAAATTGGACTGGTTAAATTTTAGGAGGGAGCCCTTCAATAATTAGAGTGAGAGACATAAAGATATATATCCTTTATGCCCAAGTCTTCTGGCTTCAGTATACATAATGGCAGACACATCCGAACCTGGATCAGTGGCTGCACTTTTATTAACGAGGCAGACTTTTAAAAATCTCTCTACAAAACATAATTTTTTAAAAAAAAATTGCTCTAAAAGCCCAGTAGAACATAAAGTAACCAAGTCCCTTGCTAGTTGTTGAAATTAAGAAAATTTAGTTCAGAAACTTTCTTACCTCCTTTTTAATGAAATTAATCTCTGGGAGAGATCCCTTAAAGGCGAGAGGAGGGGACAAAGATGAGAGACCAGAGGGCCAGGAAGGAGCAAGTGAATCCATACCCTTAAGTGGTTCATAGTTATCTAGAACAGTAAATCAACCACTTATTCCTATTTTACCTATGCCTCTCTAAATATAAACATATATTAGGATCTTTTCTTCATGTAATAAAGCAAATATCTGAAATATTAAATAATGGAGTTAACCTAACACTTCATATTCATACCTTGCCCTCTAACTCAACAAAGTGACTGGGATGCCACTTAGTTGTTTAAAGCTGCACAAAGTCTTTTTTAAAAAGGCTTTCAGAGCCAGAAAAAGTACTCCATGTTTTCAAAATAGAACCAGCAACTTCAGTCAATATTCTCCTTTTCTTATTACTGGAGATACCTTCTACATAGATAATCACATTTTGCTGACAAACATTTACAAGCCCTGAAACCCAAGCATCCCACATCTAAGAACATTTTCAGCTCCGTTTTGTTAAGCAAGCTAAGTTCCAAATATTTTTATTGGCCTACCTATTAATAACATTTCTGATTGGTCATCTGTTGGGCATGCCCCACTGACAGCCCAAATGTTGTTTCTAGGATACAGAACCCGTAGATCAGGGGTTCAAGTCTTCCATGAAAAGGGAGGGGGAGCTGAAACAAAAAAGCCAATGGAGAAGTGCCTCCCCACCCTCCCCTACTCACCCTCATCAACCAGCAATTAACCAAAAGAGAAGGACCCCAGAGGAAATGGTGAAAGTGAGCTGTCAGCACAGTTGCAAATCTAAGCACCAAGACTGGGTGTCTGAGCAAACCCAAAAGCTGGCATTAA